ACAAGAAGGAAAAGTGAACTCTGCTGGAGTTATCAGTCAGGAATTGGATTTGTTTTATTCAGCAGGAAGCTCCTGATATTCTTTACCTGCCTGGGAGGATTTTCTGGGTCATCACAGACCGTGCCAGGCACGGGAGGCTCCAAACCCCACTGCTGTGGGGTCAGGGGCCTCTGTGGGGTTTCACCTGTGATTTTGGGGAGATTTGGGGAGATTTGGGTGACCAGGGCTGTCCCAAACATGAGGAGCAGCAGGAGATGATGGTTGAAAGGCAGGATGAGCAGAGAGGTTTTAAATCCCCCGTTTCTCGAGGTTTTAGAAAGGACCAGGACTGGCCTCTGTGGGGTTTCACCTATAATCCTAAAAATGATTTGGTGAGATTTGGGGAGATTTGGGGAGATTTGGGGTGTTTGGCTGGCCAGGGCTGTCCCAAACATCAGGAACATCAGGCAAGAGGAGGGGAGGGATGTTTTAAATCCCCCATTTCCTGAGGTAATTTTAGAAAGGACCAGGACTGGTTTGAATAGGCCAGGACTGGCCTCTGTGGGGTTTCACCTGTAATCCTAAAAATGATTTGGGGAGATTTGGGGTGTTTGGCTGGCCAGGGCTGTCCCAAACACCATGAACACCAGGCAGGATGAGGGGAGGGATGTTTTAAATGCCCAGCTTGGACACAGCCCCTCCAGCTCAGCTGATGGTCAAGGCAACATTTTGGGTCCTGATCCTTTAAAATGCAGCTTTTTGGCACAACCTGTCAGCTTTTGTTGCTCTGCTTGCCAATTTTCACAGCTTCCCATGGATTTGCCATGAAAATTCTCCTTCTGCCCAGCAGGCCCTGCTCTGGGGCACTCCCCATGTGCTCAGCAGATTTATTTATGCTCTCTAATATATTAATAAGGAGCAGGGGTTTTAATTAAGTGGAAAAAAACCCAAACTGAATGAGGGAACAGGGTGAGGCTGGAAAAGTGAGGCTGGAAAAGGTTTCCCTTCTAGCTTTAAATGCTAAAATCTCCTCTTCAGTCCCAGGTGAGCATTTAGAGGCATTTGGGGGCATTTCCTGAGGTTTTAGAATGGACCAGGACAGGTTTGAATCTTTTTAGATCCCCAAGTCTGACATTCCCTGGTGCAGAAATTTGTTTCCCCCAGGCAGACAGCACAAAGCGACTTCCCTGAGCACACTTCACAAACACTGCGAGCCACCAACAAAAATTAGAATTACATCGAGTTTTCAGCATCCGAATTGCCCAAATTTGAGGGGGGAAAAATGGACAAAAGACAGGTCAACAGGAAGAGTGAGCTGGGCTTGGAGGAATCAGCAATTTGTATTTTCAGGAGGTGGAGGGGGAGCCCATTCATGGCTTCATTTTGGCAGAGACTGGCATTTAATACGACAGGAGCTAGCAGGAATTCCCAACCCTCATTACTGCCCTCAGCCTTTCCAAGGAGACAACCCCGGGATGCTCTGAAGCACTTGCAACACCATTCATTTTATGGCTTCTGAACCAGAACAAAATAACCAAATCTGGCTTTTCCTGACCCGAACCCCAGAAAACATTTCAGTGATTAAATGCTAAAGACAGCCCAAGCCCTCTCCGTGCTGTCAGCAATAAAATTTAACAGCATCACATACCACAAATGAAATATTTGTGTTGGGGAGGCGGCCAGAGCAGCACATAAACCCCAGCCAGCACATTTTATTTATTTAACCAGCAAACTGCCCACAAAACAAAGGCACCAAATGCTGTGCCAAATGATTTATCAATCACAAAATCCCTGCCTGGGCTGCCCTGAACCAGCACGGGGTGCCAGCAGCATTTTCTGTGCTCCGCTGTGACCCAGAGCTGCCAAAAACGAGCAGTGCAATGCATTATTCCCCTGATAAACCGAATTTAGGAGCTTAGAAATGCAGTGATGTGGTCCCTGAGCCTCTCCCAGGGGGATGGGAGGACTCCCAGAAGTTTTTATCCCATTTCAAGGCTCACCCTTGCAGCAGGAATATTCAGGAGCACAGAGCTGGAATTTATCCCAACCCTGCCCTGGTGTTCTCCCTGGAGATCAAAAATGAATTGTCCAAAAGCTGCAGGATTTTCCTCATCCCACAGCTCCTCCAGCCTCTGCTGCCAAGGTCTGCCTTAGGGGGAGCAGCCCAAACTGGGATTTTCTCTGATGCCCAGGCCAATTCCTCAGGCAGGAATTCCACCCTGGGAATCCCAGCCCTGGTGCTGCTGAAGCCCAGGAGCTGCTGCTGGTGCCTCAAATTGTTCAGCAAACCCACAAATGAAAATGAGTTTATTTTCCATTCCATCTGCTAAAAAAAAAAAACAACAAAAAAACCCCACAAAAACCCAAAACAAACAAACAAAAACCTCAAAACCAACCAAACAAACCCCCCTCCCAAAAAAAACACACAAAAAAACCCCCATAAAACCCCAAAAAAACCCAAAACAAAACAAAACAAAACAAAAACAAAAAACCCCCCAAAATTCCTTCCTGTGGTGATATCTCTCCCCCTAAAGAAAATTCAACTTCCAAGTTTCAAGGGAGTGGTTTAGTTGGGAATTAGCTTCATCTTCCTCTAAACACCCTTGGAAAAGAATTCTCCTTGTAACTGAACTCAGGAAAATCTGGAGTAAAAGCTCTGACTGCAAGGGAATTGCTCCCAAATCAAAATGCTGCCAGAAAAAAACAAACAAAAACAACTTTGCCCTCAAAACCCTCTCAGTGTCTCTTTCTCTCTGCAGACTCTGCCCTTCCATCATCTCAGCTTTTCACTGCTTTGTACATTTTTAAATTTTTTTTTGCGCTGCCCTCTATTAATCTTCTTGGAAATCAGACAGCTGATGACAAACACAGAAAATCAAATTATCCACCAAACCCCTTCCACCCACAGCACCTCCACCAGGCACTCTCTGATGGGTACTTTGCATCCACGGGGCCTCATAAGGATAAATGTATTTTAATTAGACACAAACTGAGCTCATTTAGGGTTATTAGAGGCGATCTGCAAATTTATTCAGCAAAGAGCAGCTTTTTGTACAGGGAATTTCCGTGGATAGCAGCAGAGCCGTGTCCAGCACACACCAGCTGGGACAAAACCCACACCAGGGGAATTCTGGATCATCTTTTCCCCACAGAGAAAGGAAAAAAAGGGCTGAAAATAGATTAATTTCATTTCTTCTTGCCATAATTTAGAAGCCAGCAGGGAAAACAAAGCCTGGGTGTTGCCAAAAAAAGTGGAATTGTGTGGAGAGAAGGGAAGGTGAGGAGATGCCCAAACTCTCAGGAAGGTGAGAGAGCCAAGAGCCTTTCAGCTCCAGACTCACCTGGATTTTCCCCACTGGAAAAAAAAAAAAAAAATTCCCATTTGCCCATTGGAAAAAAATTTAAAAATCCAAGTTTTTAACACCATTTTCTGTGCCCTCATCCCACTGTCCCCTTTCCCTCAGCTCACACCCAGCCTTGCACAGAACCTGGGACATCTCCAGCT